CCCCCCCCCCCCCCCCCGCCCCACCCACGAGCGCAGCTCCTCCAGTGTCGTCACCGCCTGGCTCTGGCCCCGCCCACTCGCCTCGCAACAAGCGCACGCGGTCCCCGACACGCCCCTCATTGGCCGGCCGTAGCGCACGTGACCCGGCCGTGGGGCCAGGTGAGGGATGGGGTGGGGACTCCTCCAGTGTGCGGCTGCCAGGGTAATGGGAGCGGGGCGCGCGCTCCGTGCACGCCCCCTGTCTCCAGTGCCGCTGGGCTGGGCGGGCGGTGCTCTCCAACATCCCCGGGAGCACCTGGTCACATCCCCCGCCCTGGCGCTAGGGCCCGACGGAGCCCCGGGCGCTGGCTGCCTCCTCTCCTGCTCGCTGCTGCCCGTGTCGGGATGTTTTGAAGCTCCCCTCCGGGCACGGGGTGCTGCTGCAGCCGAGGCTGGCGACTGTGACTGGGCCGAGCCAGTGCTGCTGCTGCCGGGAGTGAAGCCGGAGGGTCCTGGCTAGAGGGTCTTGGCAGACTGCCCACCAGGTCAGCGAGGAATGTGACCCCCTGGCGAGATTGGTGCGGCCTGGGCAGCCTCCACCTGGGATCTGGTATAGCAGCAGGACCTTGGCTGCCGTGGTTCCTTGCTGGGTGGTCAGTCTGCACAGTGTCGGGGTGGATGGTCGTCTTCCCTGGAGTTCTAGATTATGTTTGGACAGGATGGTTTGCGTAGGGCTGATCCTGCCTCAGGCAGGGGTTGGACCAAATGGCCTCTGGAGGTCCCTTCCAGCCCGACCTCTGAGTCTGAGGCCGCAGCAGTGACTGGGCGGAGGTGGCCAAACAGGGTTTCAGCCCTCCAGCATGGGGTCCTGGCAACTATCTAGCCCTGGCAGTGAAGGGGAGGCTGATTTACCACTTCCCCAGCTGGTGCTGCAGCCTGCATGAAACTCTCCAGCAGTGGCTACGCTGGTCCTGGGCTCAGTGTCTTGCAGGCTAGGTCCAATCCCCAGAGCCAGGGGCCTTCTGCAATGTTCTGGTGAGAGGGCAGGGAAAGAGTTGCACTTCCACCGCAACAAAGCAGTGGGGAAAAGTGACAACAGCAGTAGCCAGGTCCTAGCTCCAGCCCATCTCAGACCCCAGCTGGGTCATTCTAGCCCATTGCTGGAAAATGTGGCCAGCCACTGAGCTAGGTAGCTTAAAGCCAGCTCAGGTAGATCTCCACCCTGTGATAGCTGCAGGAGCCACTGCCCTGTAGACACAGGAGGTAAAGAAAGGCTAATGCTCAAGCATCCCTTCCCGTACCCCTTAGGAAGCTCTCCTTATGCTTGCCAGCATTTCAGCCTTAATGGGTTTCATGGGGAATACAGTATAACCTAACAAACCCCCATGGCACCAGGAGATAAGTTCATTATGAGAGAGAGAGAGAGCTTATAATAGTCAATTTGCTGTATCATGATGATGAAAAAATGGGTTTCTGCTATTTGGAGTGTTAAAAGCAGCAGTTTGCTATGAACAGGGTTTGCTGGAATGAATCTAGTTTTTATCATTCCTGTTGTGGGCTAGGAACCTTTTTCCACAAGCCAGCATGGAGAACTTATTGCCTGCACCATCAAGGCTGCTACTACCCAGAAGTGAATGGGCAATTTCAGTGTCCTGGGAAGAGATAATGTTGAGCACCGGAGGAAGTGCTGAACACTGGAAAGCATAGGTGCCAAGTGCTGCAGGATGCTTCTGGCATCTCCAAGTCAGTGCACAGGGTCTTGCCCTGCTGGCCCCACTGTAGTTAGACAACTGCTGGCAGCATAGCTGAGTGTTCACCTCTCAAAAGAGGAACCAGAAGCAGAAGACTGTCCAACTCCAATTCAGGCTTTCGCAGTCCCAAGATCAGGCAGTAAAATGACCAATTTCTCTGTTTCCACCTCCGGTGACTAGAAGATGTGCTATGACAACATAAAGGGACTGCTAATACAGAAGAGACTTCTGGTGAGGTGGAACACAACACAAAGCAGGACTTTATGGACAGCCTTCACCTTTGCTACCTCCCTGTCTTGCAATGCCAGGTAACAAGGGATTCAGATCATACATCGGCAGATGTCTGCCTCCCTCGCTCCAACAAAGAGGGCAAGCTACTACTATCAGGTTGTTTCCTAGGGATCTGAACAGTTTTATGCTCATCTCAAATCTAACCCAATAATAGCAAAGAATGTCATTAGCATCAACGCAAATCGATGCACTCAAAAAATTAGGTTTGTTTGGATGGGGAAAATATCCAACATCCGGTCTCCAAACAAGAATTGCCAGCTCCCAAACATGTTGATGAATGAGTCAAAATCTAGCAAATCTTATGTCAAAGTCATCAGACAAGTTTCCCAGAACAACAGGGAAGAATTTAAGTCCAGCCTCAGTTCAGGTCAGGTTGTTGCACATAGATTTCTCCCAGCGGTCCCTTGTGTTTTGGATGCAGTCTCCAGACCAGCAGGTGAGGTCACAAGTATGAGGTGATTGTTTCCAGACTGAGTCCATTCTTCAAGAATCTCCAAAAAGTGCAAGCAATCACTGAGGATTTCCAATTTGATGAATGTGAGAGCTTGAGAATACAATACATAGCTGAAAATGGGGGCACGTGCCATTCATGCTTCCAGCCCTCATTTTCTATGATCTAGCTAGATGAGGGTTCATCAATCTATTATCTCACTATTTCAGCTCACTATGCTCCAATGTATGGCCATTTACAGTGGCCAAATACAGTATCTCTGTCCCTGCAACCTAAACGTCCTCAAAGACTGAAGGGTCAGCCTTTTGAACCTTGGACAGCATGTTTTACCTTTCCATTAAATGACATTCTATGGACATACAAGTTTTGGTAGCAAGGCCACTGTATGCATTTTTTCCATAAGCATAGCATCTCACCTGAGGGATTACCTTCAAAGTATTCCCAAAATAACCTGTGACTTCATTTAAATCAGGTTATTCACCTTCTGGTATTTTATCCAAAATCACATTCAGAGAAGTGACAAAATGTAGACTCTCAATGTCTTTAGGGCATGCTTACTTTTTGTAGACAGAAGTAGGCCATTTAGAAAATCTCCCAGAGTCCAGATCATTCATAGCCCAGAGGACAGAGTTGAAGGACATACTATTTCAACACCAGGGCTCTGTTAACTGGCTGCTCACCTGTCATGTGTTGTTTGGTCAAGGGAACTCCCACCAGTAAGTGTCAGAAATAACCCAGCTAGAGCATAGGAAACCTCTGCAGCCTTACTAAAAAAAAAAATTAATTCTGGTGGTGTTATACTAACCAGGATGGTCCAGAGAAGTAAGGTTTGTTTGATAGCATCTTTTCCTGTACCAGCTATATAGTTGAGAGGGATGCTTTCAACATTTGCTGGGCTAGAGCACAATCCCCAGATCATACATTTGCCCAACTCTACCCTGGAAGCGGTCAGACTTGACTCTAATTTTGATGAGATTATATTACAATCCCTATTTTGATAAACTCTTAGGCTCCCCCTGCAGCCATCTAGATCATTGCTTGCAAGTCACCAACAATGGGAAATCTGTATGGATGAGAACTCAGAAAAGAAACACTTACTCTGCCATAAATGAGAGGCCCTGTTCATGTGCATCCTACACCCTCCCCTGCTTCTCCCCAGTACTACAGAGACTGATAGAATAAGAATTCCATTTGGCAAAGGAGCTGAAGATGCTGCTGGGTTGACTCGACCTTATCGGCCCTACTCAAAGGCAGGAGGACTCTTGTGGGCACAGGCATGACCCTAGTGTATTCTGGGGACCAGAAGAATGTGGGCTTGAGTGACTCAGATACATGTGCACCAATTGTAGGATATACATGGTCAATGCACCTCCAAGAACCGCACAGTTACTATTTTCTGCTGAGACAAGATGTCTTTCCAGCTCAGTCATAAGTTACCAGGCAGAACCTACTTGGTGAAATTTTGCTTTGTGCTACATAAGATACCTGACTAGATGGTTACAAGAGACTCTTCTGCTAATTCAGTGCCCCTTTTGCAAACAGGCCAATTATTATCTATGAGAAGACTAAATTTAATAGGAACAAGGGAAAACAGCTAAAGCTTTTATAACTAAAAGGCAGGATGCTGTTTTGTTCTTCAGCATGGTCTGCAACATTGCCCTACCTACAGTCCAACAGCTCCACACGCTGTGTAACTACACTCAAAACAGCCCATATCATGAACACACTGTTGCCTGCCTGTTCCAGCCTTCCAGCTCATTACACTGTCTTGGTTCCTCAGCCTTCTGCTGCTACTGTGCTGTGCATTGCAGCCCTTTAGTGCCCTGGTAAGTGGACTCCCTGGTGTTCTGCAGGGGCTATCTGCTGCACTCTGTTAGCAACCCTAACCTCTTCAGTGGATAGTTTGCAACTAACTCCTGCTTCTAGCTTTAATAGTCCCTGGTGTAGGTGAAACTTGAAGTGGGAATCTCCATAGTCTTAAAGAACCATCCAGCCAATACTACTGCAGCACCTGAGTAACGGGGAAAGGCAACCCCATTACTTGCATCCTATTGTCTTGCTGAATGCTGAAACACAGGACCTTAAAAGGATAAGACTAGAGTGATGGCATGAGGGAGGAGGGTCAGCTTCAATCAGGCCCAGATCTTACAACAGTAAAAACTAGAACTCAAGTGGGAATACAGAAAAAATACAGAGAAGCAGTGATGTGATCTCTATGCTAGCAACACTGGACACTATATTAGATAGCACCAATACAGGAATTATGAGACATCTGAAAGGAACAGGTGGACCAATATCACACTTCACTGAGCACAGTGCAAAATTACAGAGAAGGAAACCAGTTAAGCTGTCTAAAAAGAAAGAACAATGTTGGAAAATGTAGTGAGGCAGTGCTCCCTACTGGCTAGCACTCAGGAGAACTGGGTCTTATCCTCTGCTCTGCCACAGGACTGCTTGTACACATCAGTTCCCTTCTCTGTTTCTCAGTTTCCTTATCTGCAAAATGGGTGTAATGATACTGACTGCCTTTGCAAAATGCTTTGGGAACTAGAGTTGAAAACCAATTATATGAAACCTGTGTATCATCACTGTTGCTTGCTTTGATTTGAGGACAATGACTATGTCCAGTAAAAGAGGAAAAATATAAAGAGTGCCATAAAAGACAAGATTTTGCAATAAATGCAGCCATCAATATTATTGGATAAAATACAGCAGGGAGCATTATTGAGAACCAAGGATTTCATACACCCAAGCAATTTATCTGTAGGAACTACACCAAGGAATATAAAAGGAGGAACTAAATGCAACTTTACGTTTAAAATAGACACTGGAGAGCCAATCATTGCAATTGGTGAAACACACACAGACAAAACAAGGAAGAGCATTCCAAGAATGGAGACCTCTAAGACACCAACTAGAATTTGTTCTGAAATCAACAAAAAAAGTCAGACTGCCCTAGGGAAGACTCATAAGAACTTCTAAGTAAGTGGGTTCATCCAAAATTGGTTCCCGTGTATCAGAAGGGCTCCTCCATCTGCTATTATTCTATAGGAAAGGGAGTTCCTTGCACTAGGGAAACACTTCAGAAAGGAGAGCATCACCTAGAAAACTAATCACCCCTCTTAAGAGCTGATTTTTAGATTAGAGGAATGAATGTTTGGAGAGAAGACAGTGGACTGATTGTAAGAGATTTATTTTGCTCTGAAAATTAACATATACCTCAAATTGCTATTTAATTAATTATATGTTAAGTGTAAAATATACTTCGAAAGGAAGGAATAGAGGGACTTAAATTCACAGCAAGGACTAGAACCTCTTGTGGGGGACCATAAAGTAGGAGGCTTCAGGCAAGAGGGCCTCAGACTCAAGAAGGATGTGGACTGAGTAGAAAAAGGTGCCAGATGATTGGAAGGTAGCAAATGTGGTCCCCATCTTCAAGAAGGGGAAGAGGGAGGACCCAGGCAACTATAGGCCCGTCAGTCTTACCTCAATCCTGGGGAAACTCTTTGAGAAGATCATC